AAGTTCAGAATTACAATTTGAATCACAACCATCACCATCAATTATATTACCATCATCACATTATTCATAAAATTAAATTTTGATACCATCTCCACAAATAGGCATACATTTCTTAATTTAATGATCTGTATATAAACCAGGAATATCTTCACATTTTTAACAATCATCTCTATAACATGAAGTACATAGAGATGAATCATCTCTACATGTTACACAATTATCATCACATATATAACAAAAACTATTTACAGCATAATAACCATCAATACATTATTAACATAATAATAGATTATTATCATTTATACATTTCAAACATTTCTAATCACAAGTCCAACAAATTGAATAATCTTCTTAAATACATTTATAACCAGATTAAATCATACAATTTTGACATCCTTCATTTGCAGGATTATCACATTCCTCATTATTTTCAATACTTAACTTATCTTTATTAACAAGACCATCACCACAAATAGAAAGACAATCTATATTTTCATAAAGAGTATATCCAGATTAACATTTTAAACACTTACCTTAATAACAAAATGAGCATTTATTATTACAACTCTAATATTCAAAAGTTAAACAATTAATACATATATAATTTGGATCTTAATTATAATTAAGTATATCACTTTCACAAATAGTCATTTTAGCATAATGTTATATCTCTTTAGTATAAGATTGTATATTATTACAACCTTTAATTAATAAATAACAATTCTAAGTTATTAAATCAAGAACAAAACCTTCCATACATTAATAACAATTCCTATCTTTACAAATTAAACATTCTATTTAACAATCATTATAATCAATTCTAAAATTATCATTATAAATGACAATTTCTTAAATTACTTCTATATTTTCATAAAATATTTAATTTTCATCATCTCCTTCCTAATTTAATAAACATTTCCCATAAACACAATTTAAACAAAATTCTTAACATTAATATTGACAATTAAAACATCCATCAAATGGATCAAGATTTCCATCATCACACTATTCTTAATCAACTACATATCTATCACCACATATTGGAACACAAGGATTCAAACCATTCTAATAATTAAATATATCAAATCTATATTCTTTTGTACAATAAAATTCAGCTGTAATAAATAAATTTTATATAGCACAAAATGATTAATTTATCTATTTAGTAGGATTATTACAATTTAATAATATTATCAATTATCTATTATTAATTTCATCATTATGTATTGTTTAATCAACTTAAAGAACATAATCTGGCATATTATCACCCCAAATCTATGTATTCGAAATAGGATTCAATGTTTATCTTGTTAATATTATATTATTCTAATTATTAATTTTGTATTCAAAACTTCCAGGATTAAAATCATCTCCCAAAATAACTTAAAATTTAATTCTCACTTAATAATAATATTTTGGAATCTCTAATTCTAATTTAAATTTTGCATCTATCCAAATTAATGCTCCTCCAAAAACTTTCTTATCTGGAACATATGAAAAATAAATATTATTTCCTTTTCCAAAATTATGAATACTATTATGAACCAATTAGAATAACTCATTTATTCTCTCTTATGTTGTTGAAACATCATAAAATTCTTTAACTAAATATTTTATTTTTGAATTTTCTATATCAATTAATTCTTCATCCAAATCAATACATTAAGTATTAATCATTCTTGAAAATTATGGACAACTTTAAATACATTAACCTTTATATAATAAAAATGGTAAAACACAAATATTGCAATTAAATCTATTAGAACATGAATTGCAATTCAGAGAACAAACTTACTATTCTATATCTAAATCTGAAATAGACCAAGATAATAATTGATCAACTAAATTATATCCATTAAAAGATAGATTTAAAACCTATTAATTAATGACTTGATTAATTTCAACTCTTATTTAATACATACTTTAAGTTGAACATACTTACATAGTTAAATCTTAATATAATATTACACTATTTTATGTTGTAACTATTAAGTTATCGAAATTTATAGAATCTATTATTTATTCATTTACTTTAATCTAGATATCTTTATCTTTCATCCATGAACCAAACAAGCTTATTGTAACTCTTAGTCTAATACTTACAACTGAACTGTGTAAATTTAATATTGTATATAAAACTTCATCTTAGTAATATGGTAAATACTATTCAGTAACACTACATATTAAAGGTAATCTTAGAGCTAGATTTAAATTAGAGTTTAGAAGAAGTTCTTATGACATCATTGGTTAAATTTAATTTAGATTTAAAAGATTTGATAACACTATTTAGAATTATAATTTTACTTAAGTTTCTATAACAAACAAGTTCTTAATCATAACTATAACCTTCTGGACATTCTTGTAAACAACCTTGAATTTATAATAAAAATCTCAAATTCTATTAATCTTTACAAGTTTAACATTATTAGAGGATAGGTGATGAATTTAATGTGAAACAACTTAGACATGAATTATATGCTTCATTTGAACATGTTTTACAAGTATAATGGCATTATTTGTAATAAATTTATAAATTTCTGAAAGGATAACCTTCATTATCGAAGTTTTCATCTAAATTAGTATAAAATTATATTGATAATTAAGTGCTTGAATGAGGAAACTCAGTAATGGAAGTAATCATTGCATACTTGTCAATATTTGATTAACATAAATTGCCATATTATAAATATCCTGCTTACTATTTATAATATGTGTAAATATTATTGTTATCTAAACTAATTATGGCATTTTCATCCTAATCGATAGATTTATAAGCAATCAAATCAACATAGAGTTAAATACTATAATGGGGTGGAATATTTTAAATTGTTTTTCCAATCATATTACATTCTTTACTCAATTAAACTAAATCCATACCATAGGAGCAATGGTAAATTATACAGTCAGAATTGCTTGGTAGACATTTCCAGCCTGAAGAACTAAATTATAATGAATTAAAATCTTCAATTAGTAGATTTGGTAATGCAAAAGCAAAGAATAAGTATATAGCCACAATCTTATATTGGATAATCATTAATAATATTATTAATTTTCAATTAAAAAATTTTAATATTAATACAGAAAAAATGAATAATGCAGATTATTCATTCTTCTAAAATTATATAATACTATTTTAATTAGATTATCAAATTAATATATTATAATTGATATCAAAAATAGCTGAACATTTTTAAATCGATTTTATTAATGAAGTTATAATTTGAATATTTTACAAAAAACAAAATATTGTTTAAAGTAATTAATCTAGTTAATAAATTATAGTATGATAGAGAAGGAGAAACCTACTATGTTAATTTGTTAGGTATTTTCCTTTAATTTTTTATTAATAGTTTGTTATATACCAAAATATAAACTAAATCTTAATTTCTATATTTATATTATAATAAATGTATAACTTGATATTTGTTTTTGAATATATTATTGATGACTACTTGTTATATATAATATATATAATATTTATAAATAACAATAAATGAATATTATATTAAATAAATCTTTTCTATACAGGATGATAAATTCAATAGTTAGTTAAAATAGTCAAATATAACAATTGAAATGGACAATCAGATATAATCAATAATTTATGTATGTATATATTAACAATATATAAAATAATTCTTTGTATAGAAATATAAATAATAAAAATAAATGGAATCGTTGAATGAATATGTTTTATAATTTATTGAATAATAACGATGCCATCGCCATCCATTAGAGAAGGCAAAAATGATTAAATTGAAATGCAATTTCCGTGATTCATTTATTTGCACTTAATGTATAGAGATTGATAGTCAACTATAAATGATGTCTATAAAGCGTGCTTCAGATTTATTAACAAATTTCATTATGTTTGAATGGAAATAACCTTAACAAAAAACTTAGTAAATAAAAGATAAATTACAATAATTTACAGATATTTTCAATAATCTGTTACAATAATTGGAGACTTAAATTAATGAAAGAGATTAAAAAACATAGAATTTATAAAAGAATTATTTCTAGAAATTGAATGAAATTGAAAGATTAATTAGACATCTCACAAGTGATATCAAAATAGAGACAAAAATAAAAGATGTGAATCAAATGGATAGGTAAATATAATTATCTGATAATCTTAAATCTTCACTTCTTTTATTATTGTAAAATGATGAATTGCTATCAACATGCAGTTAAAAAGAACACTTAATTTTTAATTAAAGATTAGAAAAGAGACTAACTATGTTAGATGAAACACTCTAAGATATGACTTCATAGATACAATAATAAATGGATGAATTCAATTAAAACATGTAAAATATTTCAATGTCTCGTAAACTATCCAATGCTGAACCTTTTATAGGAACTTAATCAATTTTAGCATCTCCAGCAATGAATGTTAGTCCAAGTCAAAGATAGTTATTTTTATCTACCTTTAGTAGTCAATTATCTAAGACATTTCTCAATCCATTTACATTTAAATAAGTGCATTCTTAATTCAAATTAATCAGTCCAACTAGATTACTTATACCTCCAAATACAGGCAATAAAACTAATAAAACCAGATTAGCTTTGATAGGACCTCGTTTATAAGAAGGACCTCTTAAACCACCAAAATCAATAACATTTAGTATTTAACAATAAATATTATAAACATTTTAAATAGGAGTATGTGAAACAGGATCTGTTGAATTAGATCCTACAAAACCTCACAAATTATTTTTGGCTTCAAAATTCCCATTTTTTAATAGAGGTGATTAACTTACTTTAACAGTTAATCCTGCCACTGGATTAATCTAATTAGTGAAAAATAAAGCATTTAATCAACCTGTTTAAGCTGAATTATAAATTGATTGTTGGACTAATATGGTCTTTGTTGTGGCATCTGCAGATTGTGGAGGTTCAGGAGAGATTCATATCATTTATGATGAATGAGAATCTATATATTTTTACAAATAAAAAGATCGTTAAGGGAAACCTTAAATTATTAATTAATAAATTTAATGTCTTAAATCAATTTTGAGAATGAAGGTTATGAATATTAGCCATCTGAACATTCTGATAGAGAGTAGCCAACACCATCTAAACCAAATCAACAACAACTATAGTAATAACAATAAAGATTCACTTAAGAATCTCTTGTTTACAGTGCATGTAAGATATTAAATTCAAATCTTCTTTAGCATCTTAAGATACAAATCGTATATTTCAATCAGTAAGTTCTCCTAATTTCTAAAAAGGACCATTAATTCTAGTGAATAATGAATAGGAATAATAATAAAATCAAGTTCTACAACCTAAATAGTAAGTTAGTAATTAAAATATGCCAAAAGTTGTACAGATTATAAGACCAGACAGTACAAAAAAATAATAAATATAACCTTAAAGTCCTATTAAAACACCAGTTTAAGAATCAAAATTGCCTCAATTTGTTTAACAATCTTAATAATCTTAGATGTCTTAACTTTCATAGTAATAATAATAATAATAATAATAATAATAATAATCATAATCTTAATGTACAGTGATAGAATTGGAATAATAATTAATGCAGGAAAGATTAAATTCAGAATAATTAAGAATTTATAATCACATTATAAAAATGGAATTAGAGAAAAAATTATATAATTAAGGAGTGTTTATTACAAATTCAAAAAATAAAAAAAGAAATGAGAATGCTATAGATATATATTTAGAATTATAACATAATAGAGTGTAGATGTAAACTATTTAGAATGAATTTAAATAGAGAGATTAAATTATATAACATTTAGAAAATTAACTCAAATAATCTAATTAAATAAATGAATTAATGAAAAAACATGATTATGAATTATAATAATAGAATGAAGAATTATCATAATCAATGTAAGAGGCTATGAAGAATATAACTCATGCAAATTAGACTATATAATAATAAGAACAAGAGAAAGATGCTTTAATTGATCATATAGAATAATAAAAGGAATAAATTGAATAATTGTAATAATAAGTAGAAAAATTGAAATTTGAAAATTAAGAAAGAAAGAAATAATCAGAAACATCAAATGAATAAATAAAAAAAATGATATAAATTTAAGAGAAACTTGGTTAATTAGAAGAAGAATTATAATTAAAAAAGAATGAAGTTGTTACGGCAGAGAATTCAAAAAAAGTATAAATTATTTATATTATTTAAGCAATTACAAAAGAATATTTCTGATAAATAAAAAGAAATTATGAGTTTCTAATTATAGTTGACTGAAGCCAATAATAAATTATTAGAATGTGAATAAGCAAATAGAGAATTGAGTAGATAATTTAATTAAAGTGTTTATTAAATGTCATAACTTAAAAAGTATAAAATATATATAATATTAGATAAACTGAAGAATAATAAAGTAGAATTGAAAACTTAGAATAATTAAATTATGAAATTGAAAGTAATATGACAAAGACAGGAAGATAAATTTGTGAAGCTGATAGAATGATGAATGAAAAAGAATAGTTAATTAAAAAATAATAATAAGAATTAGAGAATATATTAAAATAAAATGAAGAAATGTCAAAAGAATTTAATTAATTAGTTTAAGTACATTAATAATTTGGGGCTTTGAATGAAAAACATTAATAATTTTAATAAAAATATGAAATATTATAAAAAGAATATTAGTAAAGAAATAAAGAATTTTAAGAAGCATCTTAATAAATTGAAATCTTTTTATAAGAAATTCAATAATTAAAATAAACTAATAATGAACTTTAAAATGAAAGATAATAAATATTAGAAGAACTTGATATTTTATAATAAGTTAAATATGAATCAGAATAAACTATATAGTAATTAAAATTTGATAATAATGAATTATCATTGCTCTTGTAAGAAAGATAAGAATTAAGTGGTAAATATCATGCCTTAGAAATTAAATTCTAAGCAGATATAGAATATTATGAAAAGTAATTTTATATTATTATATAAATAGAACAATAAAGGATATGAATGAGAAATTAGAATTATCTTAAAATACATCTCCAAATATTGCTTTGGAAGAAAAAAGATTAGTTGAATTACATAAGATTTATGAAAAACTTGATAGGTTGCTATTTCATTTAACATAAAAAATTTCTAATGAAAAACCATCTTTCAAGGTAGATGTAGTAATCTCATAGTTAAGTGGATCTATTGAATAAATTGAAAAATATTTCAAATTATCAAGCAATCGATCTTAATAAGATAAATTTTAGAATTCATAAGGATCTGTGATAAATGAAAATAATAAAATAAGTACTAATAGACCTTCAGATGCAGAATTATTCAAAAATAATGACATAACAAATATTAAATAAATCTAAACTTAGTAAACAGTAGCAAAAAGAAAATATTTTTTATGAATTATTAATCTATATATATATGATAAAATTTATATGAAATTATAATTAATTTGTATGTATTATTTAACATTAACTTATGAATTCTCATTAATAAAATTCAAATAGTTCCTCAACATTATTAATACCATATTTATCAATTAATTTTGCTTTTTCAATAATTTATAATAATTAATGTCTTGCATCAACTGGAAATACAATGCTAAATTCAATAAGTCCATCTTTTATTCTAATTAAATATGATATATATTTTACTCTAAATCATTATATTACAATAAATAAGATTTATTTGATGGTATTTCATGGAAAAAGTCCTCATTTATTTTTACTTCATTAATCAATTCAGGCTTATCAATATTGGCATAATTAATTAATGAAAGTCTTGGTTCAACTCCAACAAGTCTAAATTATAAGACATATGTTGAATTCAATTAAAATTGATAGATATCTACAAATGTAACAGGTTCATCTCCAACATAATCATCTCTAACCTAAAATTAAATATTTATGTATACTTTAATTGGATTATATTCTGGTTCAGGTAACCAATTTTATCCATCATAATATTATCTTATATCAATTGTAAATATTGTTGGCTTGGCAGTTCCTTCGTTATTATTTTACCAAATAGCAATTAAATGAGGATGTATCCAATTAGTAACATTTATTAATGTGTAGGAAATAGTATCTTTGATTTAAATAATGTAGAATGCTTTATCTAATAGGTGTGGTTTGATTAACAGAATCTCTGCTTATCCAAGTTCAAAATCTTATCCAAAGACAGCAAATGTTTCTTCATCCACTTACCAGTTATATAATTCAGTTTATCCTGTTTTATTGGGATAGTTATATTCAAATACAGGATTCATATCAAATTAAGTGTCAGAAGTATAATTTTGAGGGATGACTCTAATAACAAAATGACCTATATTGGTATTTGAATATTATTTTTCTAAATCTTAAGTAATGAAATATCTTATCTTTTCTGATTCTCTATCTAAAATCATAATGCGAAATTCTAAATATAATTTGATAAGTTACTATCTGCTAATGTTTCTTTTTATTGCTTGTCACTATTTTATTTAACAACATTACTAGCAGCAAAAGCAAATGATTGATTGAGTTAATGAGTTTTAAGATCCAAAAACTTAACTTTCATATCTTCAGGGTCAAGAAAACACAAGGTCCTAATAATGAGTTTAAAAATTACTATGGATATATTTGATAGAAGTATTTGACATCATTACTGATTTAGCCTCTGCCAACAATTTATTGTGATTCTACATCATAAATTTCATAAGAGCCGGCATCATAATAAATAAAAGCTTGATTTTCATTTAATGGAACTATTTTGTCAATGAATTTGCATAAATTGTTAGTTTTGACTTTGACTGAAGATTTAAGAAGAATCTTAAGTCTTAAATCATCCTTGCGTTCTTATTATATCATTTGTATTGAATTAATAAATTTTATTCAAAATTACAGATTCCTTTTATGTTTAAATCAATCACCAATATATTTCATAATTCTGATCAAATTACAATATAAATTTTATAATAATAATAATACTCAAATCTTACATCCACATTCTTTATCTAAATTCTTAAAATCAATAATAACATCTTCATTTATTTTTTCATACAATTTTATTACATCCAATTAATAAATATCACATTCATTTTATAATAATGTACATAAATTTGGAACAGTTCTATCTAAATCTGAATGAATAAACTCCTTAATATAAGTACCTGCACTACTTAATACATAAACTAATAACCATTTTTCATTAATTTTTTTAATCAATAATGAATGAATGATTTTATCTCTTACCATTAAAGTTCTTCTATGTAATACTCTTATTGGTGTTTTCTATTTGATTACTAAATCCTTGATGTTATTTGCTTATTCAATTAAATCTTCATTGATTATATTTTTGCATTCAACTATACAACAATAAGCTTTGACTTTATTAGTTTCAGAATTCTTTAAATCTCCAAAAATATTGGTATCAGTATATGCCAATGGAGTTACTTTAACTACATTTTATGAATTGATTTTAGCTTCTATTTAATTAAGGATTTCTTAAGTTTAATTTTGTAGTCCTTAATGAGGATCAACTAATTCAATAGCAAAAGGTCGACCATTTCCTAACATTCTTACATCAATATCTTCTCTACCACCAGAATGAAACTTTACACTTGAAGGTTTAAATATTTTGCATGCTTCTGCACTCACTAAATCTTCAATTGAATCTTCATATATTTTATTCCCATCTATTATCCATGGAGTCTAACTTATATATCTAGCTAATTTAATATAATTTCCTTTAATAAAAATATTCTAATAGCTAGTTGTCACTTCTAATTTTACTGGATAATTAACATTAACTATTTAATAATATGATATCTAATTGTTATTTAATTTAGATATTTTCTCTAAATTATTTTAAGTTGGTAAAAATGGCTGATTTTATTGATTTTTCTTTTATAATAATCTATTATGAGTTTCTGCTTTCAATTAAGGATCATTCATTTTTAACTATATTTTAAATATATAATTATACTTTCTTTGTGATTTTCTCCTCCCATATTTGATCATCAATATTTGAAATTAGTTATTTAAATTATTCAAACTATTTAACATCATCTCCTATATTTTCAAAATTTAAACAAATTTAAAATCTATCATCATTTGGATCACTAGGTACTTTAAGAAATTCACTTAATAAACTACACATTATCCACTTTACACAAATTTTAATATCTGTTGCAAAATTTGGAGTTCTAATATATTCATATAATGGATCAATTTAACCAATTTCTGAAATACATTAATTTACTATTATTAATTATCTAATTTAACATCCTATTGGTGTTTTCACTTAAAATTTAAATGCTTCAAATTAATATTACTTTTGTTATATTTCATCAACTAATATTGATATGAATTTTTAATCATCCACACATTATAATATTCCATGACATATTAAACATTTATTAATTTTATCAAAGGTGTGAAAAGGATTTTTAATAAATTAATCTTTTAAAGAAGAATGACATGTTTAAGGTTATACATCAGAATCTATTATTTCCCTTTTTCTTTTATAGTATAAGAAATCATACTCCTCTACTAATTTCTTATATATATTAAACTATTATTTACATTTTCATTTCCAATCAATTTCCCTACATCAAACAACAATTAAATGAATTATTAAGTCTCTCTATATGTACTAATCTCTGTAATTTTGAACACTCTCAATATACATCTGATACATGCATCTTTTTCAAACAATTTATTAAACAAAATTGCCTTAGATTCACATAATTACATTATTAATATTTATATTAAAATAGAATTTATGAAACGATAACTTTCAATTGAACTCAAATATACTATGAATTAAATTAAAGAGTTTTAAATAATCATCATATATAGATTATGATAATTATATTGAGAAACACTTAATTACTTATCTCTTAGTATATAAATTAATAAATAGTTAAATAATATAATTTTTAGATAATAATTTATAAGTCAACTTAATAAAATGCATTGATCATCTTTTAATTATTCTTTCAATTCTAAACATTAATCTTAACTTATCTAAAATTTTAATTAATCATATTTCATACTTAAATAGGTTATTAAAGATTTGTTTGCATATAAAATGATGATTTTTTATCTAGAAATGGATGAGAATCACATAACATATCTTCTGATTATAATTCATTAATAAATTATTAAAATTCTTCTTAATTATTTATCTTAGTATCCTCATTTATTCTTTATTTAAATAATTCATTTCTTTTTTTAAATTATTCTATTGTTTCTTTATGTCTATTTTATAATTGAACCAAAGATAATCTCATACTTTCTAAAAGATGGGTCTTTATTTAATATTATCCATTTTGTTTTTCTGATTAACATATATCATTTTATTTCTCCTAATCTGGTTAATCTACATCATATGCAAAAAGTTTAGTAAGTAAATTTATCTAATTATTAAAATTTTCTTTGATTACATTTCTTCTATACTTTTGTAAGGCTTCCTCTCTTTCCAGTCCATGTTGATCTTTTGTATTAAATTTCAATTCAATATGGCTTTAATTTGGAAAATCTTTGAAAGTTTAATTATTGGACATGACAATTTATATATATATTAAATAATTATCATAATTAATTAATAAATGGACCTTGTAACAAAGTAGGCATAAAACAATAGAAAAATACCAGAAGCTATTTTCTTTGAAAATATTGATGAATTAATCTCCAAGAATTCTATTCAAAGATTAATGGAAAGCTTATAGGAAGCATATAAGTAATAATTAATTGAGTTTTAGCAAATATAAATTTATGGAAGCACAATTAGTCAAATAAAGAGAATCAATGCAAAATAAATTACCAGAAATTGAAAGAGCTTTGAGTATTGTAGAACATTTAGAAAACTAAAAAGAAGATGAAGTTGTTGATTTTCTTATTACAGATACTATTTATTCAAAAGCTGTTTTACCTAAAGAAAATAAGACTGTTGCTCTTTGGTTAGGTGCCAATGTTATGGTTGAATTTGAATTTAATGAAGCTAAAGCACTTTTATCATCAAACAAAGAAAATGCCAGCTCAAATCTTAGACAATTTGTATTTCCTTAATATTGATATAGGATGAAGATATAGTGTTCTTAAAAGATTAAATCACTACAATTGAAGTTAATATAGCTAGAGTATATAATGCTAACATTAGAATCTAATAAACATAATAATAATAGCAATAATAATAAGCAAAATGAAATATATTTATTTAAAGTACATAAAAAAAATTGTATTTCATCTAATTTATATTTAAATTCAATTAACCTTCTTTATACATTGATGTTTTTAAATATTCAAATTATTATTAAAGTTTGTTTGACCTAACAATAATGATCTTTATTTTTATATACTTTTCAACATAATCCCATCTGATCCTCTAAATCATACCTAATTAAATTAATTACAATACAACGACATAATTTGCTCTAATTTATTTATAGGAGCTTTAATTAATTTATAATTATCATCTTAATTTGATAATAAATAAAAATATTAAATTTTTTAAGATATTAATTGTAAATTAAAATTAATTATTGAAGATAAAGAATTATATATGAAATTAACATTATCTTATTCGAATATATCATTAAATTAATTTTTATGATGAATTTTGTATGAATTAACTACATTAACCAAATTTTTAGAGATTTAAATGAAAAATTTATAAATGAATTAAAGAATTATAGAAAATTTAGATAGCTAAATATATCAAAAAATCAATAAAATAACGTAACAGCTGCTCCTTTATCTTCAACTTTTGGGCCTTGAAATGCTTTCTTTAGTTTATCTAATAACAATTTTGATTATTAAATAAAATCAAATATAAATGATACAGCTAAAATTGATGTGGAAGTAAAAATGTGTAGCCATCCTAAACTTATCGAATTTTCTAAGCTCAAAGACATTTCTACTCTATAGGCATAAAATAGAAATGTAATAGTGTTGAATATAATCATCATCTCAGTTATGATACTTTTATAATACTCATATGGATTTGATAAAGGCTTATTTGCAATAAGATAACACAAAAATAAGGATTAATTAATTGCAATACATAGAGTTTAAAGTTGGCCTTCTTTTTACATAAATACTATTAAGCTAATGAATACTAATTTTTTTATAAGCAATACACCATTAAATTGTGTAACCCATATAGATTTTGATTCTTAGACTCCTTCAAATAATGCATCATATTTATCTTTGACTTTTAAAGTTGAAGTATTTGAAAAACTTTGCATTACATTGAAAGTATATATTGAGACAGAAATATATGTAATAAATACCAAAAGAGACAAATAAGAGTTGAATACTAAAACAGAATCTTAACTTTGAAAATAAGATAATTGAATTGTAGTAGCAAAGCAAACATCATAAGAATTTGACATAATTATTCTTAAAATTCCATTATAATAAAACTATTTAGATTTCTTTTTCAAATTTCTTCTTGTAGAATAGATTAGTTTTCCTATTGTTAGATTCAATTTAGATATATAATAAGGTCCAATTCTATATAAAGTAATATGTATATATTTAGTGGCCAAATAACCTCCAAATGCAGAAAGGAAACAAAATAGAAAGCTCTAAAAATTAGTAAAAAAATAAGCATTAATATCATCTTTCTCAAATTTATTCAAGGTTGGAATAACATAAGTAGCATCTCCATCTAAAGAATTAAAAAATTTATCAATTCCTAATGTTGACATTAAAGGAGAAATAGTAATCAATTTAAAAACATCAAAATAGATATTAAGATTGTTTGGAAATTGAATATCGATGTATTTAACATAGGATAAGTATTACAGTTAATCCATGAGATTCCAAAAGATATCTGAAGAGCCTGTAAGCAAACATATAGTGGATATACCTGCTAAAGAGTAGATAACAGCTTAATTGAAGGCTGAAGCACTTTCAGCAATAGCTTTTTATGCTTAACTTAAAACTGATGGGGTAAGCAAGACTAATGTTCCTGAAGACTCTTTAAGAGACAAGTTAAATTCAGAGAGTATAGGGTCTTCAAGAAATATAATTTTGAAAACAGGGTTATCAACAGGTACAAAGAAATTAATTCTAAAATTAAGAATAATTTCAGTAATTTCATCTGATGGACTTGCCTTCATTACAGACAAAGTAATTTAAAATTCACTATTTTCCATATTAGTAATGTCTGTTGTTAGGAAATTTTAAATGTCATTATTTATTTTGCTAGCATATTTCATTTTTTAATCAAATTTGACTTATACATCCTCAAAATCTTCTGGATTTTTTGTTAATAGATTGATCGTAAAAGATGGTTATTTAGAATAAAAGCAATTGGAGAAAGTTCCCTCATTGTTAAAACATACAAAATCGTTTTCAATTAAACATTATGAATTGCAACCATCTCCATCATCATAATTGCCATCATCACATGCTTCAGCAGATTTCACAAAGTAACCATCTCCACATTAAGCTATACAAATATTTTACTCTATATATCTTCCCAATTCACATTTTAAACACACTCCTTCCTAACAGTCTAAACAATATTAATCACAAGCTAATTTACACTGATAACAACCATCATTAAAATCTTCATTCATATCATCACATTATTCATATCCAATAACAACTCCATCTCCACAATATGGAGTACATTTATGTTATTCAATTATCCAACCAAAAATATCACATTCATAACAAATACCTAACTCACAAGTAGTACACATCTCTTCACACTAATATTAACACATAAAACAACCATCAAATTCAATAGAATTACCATCGTCACATTGTTCCTATCCTTTAACAACATATCCATCTCCACAAACAGGAAAACATACATGATTTTCTATATCCCATCCTTAAACTCCACATTAATAACAGATGCCTAATTAACAATCAGTACATTCTGGTTAGCATTGATATTTGCATTCAAAACATCCATCATATGGAATTGAATTTCCATCATCACATTCTTCATTTCCTATTATAAGTTTATCTCCACAAATAGGAATACAATAATTCCAATCCAATTGCCAACCTTTAGTATTGCATTCCTCACAAAACCCTTTTAAACATTTTGTACATTATTTTTAGCATTCAAAATAACATTGATAACAACCATCTTCTCCAATATCATTAGCATCATCACATTATTCATTTCCTATTACAATACCATCTCCACAAACTGGCTAGCATTCTCTTGTCAATGTATTGATTTCCCAACCAATTCCAGTACATTAATAACAAAGACCATCTAAACAAGTTGTACATTATTTATGACATTAATAATTACAATCAGAACATCCATCATCACTAATCTTATTTCCATCGTCACATTATTCATTAAAAGCTATTATAGCATCACCACAAACACTAAAACAAGTATTAGTTTTAACATTTAAATAATATCCATTTAAACATTAATCGCATTTTCCTTCATTACATATATAGCAATAAGGATCGCAAGAATATTAACAATTAAAACATCCATCATAAGGTTAATCATCTCCATCATCACACTCTTCTTCCAATGATTTTATTCCATCTCCACAAAAGGAAACACATTAATTTTTAAATTAATCTACTTTACCATAACCAGAAGAGCTGAGACATTTTTGACATATTCCATAAACACAAGAAGAACAATATCGTGGACAATCAAATCTGTTTTAAAAACAACCATCCTAAGCTATTAAGTTCTTATCATCACATTACTCTTTCCCAATCACAATACCATCATCATTAATTTCATAACATTTATTAAAAGCTATTTAATATCCATTTTAGCATTTTTGACATATCCCATATTAACAATTCAAACATGACTCTTGACATTGATATTAGGAGAGATAGCAACCATCATTTGATAAAGAATTATAATCATCACATTATTCATTTCCAACAATTAAAGAATCTCCATTAATTGGATAACAATATTTTTCCAGTGAATTCAAAACCCATCCTTTTTTACATCTCAAACAAGATCCTAGATAACAAAATTTACAAGATTCTTAACACTAATATTTACATTAATAGCAATTTATATCTATTAAATCATCACATTCCTCATAACCTTTTATTATAATTCCATCTCCACAAATTGTTTCACATTTCTTCTTTAAAGGATTATATATCCATCCAATTTTATTGCATTATAAACATCCTTCATATGAACAGTTTGAACATGAATCCTAACAACTTAATTAGCATTTAAAACATCCATCATATTAAATGATATTTCCATCATCGCATATTTCATTACTAACTAACATTCCATCTCCACAAATAGGAGTGCAAATATTAATCTTTGATTATAATGTGTAACCAGAATTGCATTATGTGCATTTACCTTTTTAGCATTATAAACAATTTGGTATACATGAATATTCACATTTATCACAACCATCATTTGGATTTTCATTAAGATCATCACATTATTCTTATTCAAGAGTAATTATACCATCATTACATTTTGGTTAACAAAGATTATCTTCTAAATACCATCCATTTTATTCATCACATTTTGTACAAATACCAAATGTACAAGTAATACAATGTTTTATACATTAAAATTTACAATTAAAACATCCATCATATGGAATTAAATTACCATCATCACATTCTTCATTATATACTATAATATTGTCTGAACATATACTCACACATTTGTTTTCAATTAATTAAAATCCAGTATTACAATCTTCACAAATACCTCTTACACATATACTACATTCAAAATCGCAACTAAACTAACAATTATGGCATCCATCAAATGGATTATAATTTCCATCATCACAATCCTCTCCATCTACTATTATGTTATCTCCACAGATAGGAAGACAAGGCAAATTAACTCCATCATCATAAAAGCCAGGTTAACATAAGCATTAATTAAATGAGATTGATCTATGAAAATCAGAAACACATGTAACACAATCGTTCTATCCAACTCCATTACAATTTTCACAGTGTTTATTACATGAAGTACATTAACTTCCAGAAAGATAAGTAAATGGATAGCATTAGCATATACCATTTATTAAATAAAATTTATTTGTAGAAGTATAAGTACAAGATGTACAATCCTCTAAATTATTGCATGTTAAACAACCAGTTTAACTACATGTTACACAACTATAGATCTATGTACTTGAATCAAATGATAAAAATTAATTAGATAAGCAAGAGGAATCAGAGTGTCCTGATTCCCAAGTAATACATATTGTTGCACTAGAACAATCTTCACAAAATGGAGGGCACTAATTTTAATTAAATATCTTACATAATGTACAACAATAAAATACTCAGAAATAGCACAAAATTCTTCTCTAAAATCTGAATCACCTCCTGTACATTATAATTCTAAATCTAAAGTATTGTCTTTAAAAGGATTTTCATAAATTTCAAAGTGTCTAATTCTCTCTTCTTTATAATTACCAATAAAATTGTATCCGCTGCTAGGCTTTGGATAAGCACTACTAGTTGATGTTCCAATTTTATAATAAAAATTTCCAGAATACTCATCTCCATAAGTAAGATTAAATCTTATAGTGATTGCATAGTGAGGTTCTGAAATAAACCATGATTTTTCATATTTTGCATCTCTCCATACCATGACTCCTCCTAATACAAATTTATTGGGAAAGAATGAAAACTTCTAACCTGTCTTTAGGTTATTACCAGTAGTAGTAACTGTAGTAAAAAAAGATTAAACATCATTATATGTCATGTTTAAATCATAAAATCCTTTTGCTAAATATCTTGAATCTATTTTAAGTATTATTGTTACATGGTATAATATCCGCATAATCTATACAATCCGCAGAATAAACTGGACAACTACTGACACATCCATTTTAATATAAAATATATCCTGATTCACATTAAGAACATGTAGAAAAATCTGAACAAATTTTACAGTTTTCTTTGCATAAACCAGAATCGATAGTAACATTTCTAAATCCCCATGATTCACTAGAATCTTATAATTTCCCTAAAAAAATTAATTATGGATTTTCAGAAAATGTCTTGAAAATTGCCTCAATTCTTATTAATGTATATGATTTAGAATCACAAGAATTAGAATCTGCAAAAATTTTAACAATATTATTATATTAATATGCTCCTGAAATTTTTATTAATTCTCCTGACTATATATTATCTACAAAAAATTAAATTTTGCTATTGGTTTATAAATTAAAACAATAAAAAGTAACTCTTAATCTTATAAATTTAATTGCATTAGTCTTACCTAATGATAATTACATTCCTTCATTAAAATATAATTCTCCAACAAAATCATTATTGTCACAATCCTCATAAACTAAATCAGTATTTTGATAATGAAATATATCTGGAATAAAAACAAAAGGTTAATATCTAGGAGAATCAGATGATGATATAGAGCTAGAATCAAAATATTTTTAACTAGATTTAATCCTTCTATCAGGAACACATATATTATCTGATCTTGCTATATAAAAATCTCTTTCACATTCTTAACGACATCCAACTCCTGTTTGAGCATATTTATGAGAAGGATCGCATCCACATGTACCAGATGATACTGAATTATAATAACATGATGAACAAATAGTAGAACTTGAACAAGTTTTACATGTTGGATAACAAACATTCACATATATTAATAAATTCCTAATAAAAACAGTATCTTCATCATCTTCTGGATCTAAACAAAATGTGATTGTAAATTCATTTGCAGTGTTAGTAATTATTGTACTTACAACTGTATATAAATCAAATTCATAATCTCCACCTCCTGTGCATATTCTGTTAGATTATTAATTCAGGTCAGATGCTTTATAATGGTTTGTATATAAATCTATAGTAGAAGAGGAAGATTCCTCTTAATAAGTAACATCTAAATCAGTATCCTTTGATGTATCAGCATGATTTAAATAAGCATCAAAAATTACTTAAACTTAAAAACTCTGTTATCTAAATTATTTTTCAATTCTTTCCCTGTCTTTTCTTAATTCATTGTATTATAAGGAATTAGAAGAGCATTATCCCCATTCAAAATCTTCACCACAACTACTACTGCATGAACAATCCTTTCTTGTTTTCCAATTATTACTTGAGACTGTTGTATCATAAAAACTTGAGTCAATTTGTATCCAATCTCCTTTAGTCAAGTAAGGCAAAAATGATAACAAAATAAAAAACATAAAATATATTTATTAATGCCGTCATCTCCAGAAAGAAAATTAAAGAATTATTTGAAGATTTGATTTTAACTTTGTAAGCATAATGGAAAACAAATCCTAAATCATTAAGATATTTTGATATAATATCAACTTTAATCTAAAAATAGTACACCATCAATTATTTTGAAACAAGCATTACTATATTATTAATCAATATATTTAATTAATAATATCATAATTTTTGCATAATTTAAAAAACTAATATGTATTCCAAATTTAATAACTTAGTTTATATATTTTGAAAAATTATTCTTATACAATTTTCTATTATATCATTATTACTTCTCTAGATCAATCCCTAAGATAATTACTGCTATATTCATATTAAACTATAATCAATATTTAAATACTTTTATGATAATATAATTGTACTTATAAATGAATATATTTCAAATTCAAATACTTAAAACAAGTTTTACATGAATATAAGTAATTAATCTTCCTATATTATTGAGATCCGAGATCGGTATAAGAAATTGTCTCAATTATTTTGTAATTAATTAAATTATAATATATCTTATTCTCATACAAGATTATTCAATATATATTATGATGACAATTATTTGACTTTTTATATATATTATAATTGAACTCTCTCCAATCGGCAAAAAGGTTATAAAATATCAAAAAAGTAATATAATTTTTGATGGATTATATTTCAAACTTTATATCAAACATATTTTCATTTTAATTGAGCCAAATTTTTAGAAGAGATAATAACAAATAAACCTTTTACAGCATTTTATATTCACATATAATAATATTTAAATATATATCAATTTTTTATTTTGTTAATTTCTATTCCAATATTTTAATATCACTTTTTAAATAACCAAAATTTATGCTCCATATATTCTAAATAATGACGTAAAGGAAAATTTAATTAGGCATAATTTAAATTTTTCATAATTGATTAATGATAATTAAAAGTATTATCAAATTTATGAAGATTTTGATTCTCTTAATAAACAAAACACTTTTTTAAAGAATAATCTGATTCAAAGGACTATCCTTTTATGATATTTTGTTTCATTTTTATCCTATATTATTTTGTAATAGACTAATTTTAGTTATATTACTATTAACAATGAAAAATTTTGATTTCTTATTAATAAAATTGCTGAAATTTTAATTTAACACCATATTTAGTCTCAATACAAAATTTTATTCTTTGGATATGAAATATTTTCTAGGTTCTTGAGAACTTGATCTATTTTGAAATTTTTTTTATTAGTAATAAACATTTAAATAACTCATTAAAATATCTAATGGAATTAATTAATTATAATTTAGTTATTTAAGGAGGTGATACATAATTATGAATTGCCTAATATATTATTTTAGAATTATTGCATATTTCATTTCTCTAGACTTTATTCAATTTTAATTACTCAATAAATAATACATCAATTAAAGATTAAATGATAAATTAAGATATTAAAAAGAATGATTCTAAAATTACATTGATACTCGTTATGGACATAGTCGTATGTAATCTTAAAATACTGACATTCTCTAACACATATACACTACTGATTTATTAGAATTTCAATATATTATTTATTAAGGAAGTATAACCTATAATGTGATATCATATATATTTATATATATATAATTTATTATATTACTATCCTATTCTTAACTCCATACTGACACATTCGAAAGTATGGAATAATTTAGTATTGATATTGCTTTAAATATTAAATTAAACAGAGTACTACTGAAAGTTAACAAGAAAATGACTTTAAATTTGCCATATAAAATAAAATAATATCTAACAATAAGAACTATATAATAATTAAACCATACTGGATTAAATTAGAAAATCAAAACAAGAAAATAGTTAAGTGGAATTTAAAAATAAATGAAAAATGTTTTGTTTTTTATTGTGATTTATATTATTGAATCAAACATTAATGAATGCTCTAAAATCTAACCCATTTCCGCTGTATAAGTATGGTGCAATGAATGAATTATCAGCTACTTTGACATGATATCCGAAATCTGTTGGATTACCAAATACTAATGTATTGGCAAATTAATTTTCTTGAGCAAGTCTTATAAAATAATAATGTGAATTTCTTACTTGATTTAACCTGGTTAAACATTTTCTATTCTACTAATGATACGATTCTATTCAAAAACAACTTCGTATGTGTTGTCAGTGTTTTTGAGTACTTGTCTAACAAATGGAATAGCTCTTTTAGCCTAAATTTATATTAAGACATTTATTACTTATCCCTATTTAGCCAAATAGAAAAAGGCTGCTGCAATTACTGGAACTGCCAATATTGTTGAGTAATAAGCATCACCTCTATAGAATAAATAGAGGAAATAACCAGCAAATACTCCTGCTAAAATTTAATATCTTAAAACATGGTGTTCTTATGCTTATGATTCATAAACTAATTTTTATCCTTTTTCATTAAATCTATTTTATGCAAATCCTGATTAATATTCTTTTTCATATAATTCTTATAAGAATAATTTGTAATCATGTCCATCTACATTTCTAGCATATTCTTAATCCTCAGCTGAAAATTGTTTTGTTGCTTTATCGACAGTTTGAATAAATAATTATTTCTCTTAAGTTTATTAATCTAATTTTTAAGCTACTTCAACTTCTGTTCCTTAAAGAGAATCTATAAATGATTTAATCAAACCAACATATCTAAATTAGAAGACATATTTAACCTTCCTTAATTAAATTAGTAATTTTGGAATATTGATTCAAGGGATTATGATAATTAGGCTGCTAATTAGGGATCCTTAACTTCTGCTTAAATTTTTTTTATGGTAGCTGTTGTTCTTTGTCTGTAAATTGATTCTAATTATTAAACATAGCCTCTAAAATATAATATAATCTCTACGGTGAGACTAAATTATCATAATGAATTCCTTCTAAGTAAATACTAAACAATTCTTAGGCAGCTTATCTTCTTGCATCATTTGTGAGTTTTGCTATTTCTGGAATTTTATATTCGAGGGATTGTGCAAATTATGTTAATGTTTCATGACTTTGTTAAGTTTGTCTGAATAACAATTCTAACTTTTCAACGTGTATCTATGGATATTCAAAAAAGAGATTTTACTTTATAATCATTAGGATTTGGGAAATTTTAAGGTCTAAGCAATTAACTTAATTAAAATATTCCAGATAAAGTTGTCAATTAAGGAACTGCTAATCCATATTTATTTGACACTTATTGGAATTAAGCTATTTAGGCTTATTAAGCAGATGGATTTGCAGCCTCTCTTAAACATACATACTCTCTTAAGTATCGTAAACGAGTAGGATTGCATCTATTAGAGATTCCAAATACCCTTCTGAACATGTTCAAGATATTTAATTTAATAAATAATTGGATATTTAAGTTGGCAAATTTATATATTAATCATTTATTACTAGAAATGTTTCCATTACTTTGATTGATTATTGATGGATTATCTTAAGAAACATTAGGATTTTAATTAGCAACTGGTTGATTCGATTAAATAGATTTCTTGCTTATTCCCAATCCTTAAATCATATCACTAGGTTTCAAAGTCAGTCTTTTAGGTTATTTGGCTATTTGACTAGTTCGAGATTAACTACTCCTTGTTGCTCCACCTCCAGGACCTTAATTACTCATACTTTTATCATCCTAAATATTTCCATTTGATCCATTAGGATTAATTAGATGTTTTTTAAAATCTTTTGTATACTATTACATAACTTAAATATAATAAAATAAATACCATCTTCATCTGGTTCTTCCTCTTCTTCCTTTGAACTTCTATCTGAATCATTAACTATTGGTGTTTCTTAATTAATATAAATTTCTTCTTTATATATTTCTGTATTAGGAAGAGTGAGATACTTTGTTTTTCCATAATCTGGTCTCTTTGGATGTTCAGTATCTTTTGATATTCTTGAAAGAATTTCTATTTTATTATCAAAAGAGGAATCCGAACTAAAGCCATCACTGTAATGTTCCTACTCTTATTCAAGTAATAATAATTAAGCTTATAATTCTTTTTATTACTTTTTCTTTTCTCCATATCGCCTTAAAGTTTTAAAAGCCATATGAACAAATAAGAAATGTACAATAGGATTAACTAAATTCACTTCTTTTGATTAAACACCCACCTATTTTTTTTTCAATCTTTTTTATGTTTCATCTTCTTTTTATAGAATTTTATCAGCTCCTTCAGGACTTAAATTTACTTACACTTTCTTCCACATATAAGATTTCATAACAGAAAATAATATTTAATGATATTTAACTTAACCTACATTGTCAGCATAAATATTCATTTTCATAATTTAAGTAGAAACATCTCTTTTAGCCTTAGCTTTGAGAATCTATGTTTATTTTAGAACATTTTCTTTTGTATCTAATTGAGGATTGATTCTTCTCCATTCACTAATTTCATCATTTAATTTCTATTTCAAATCATAACCAATAGGTTTCTCCATATCAAGTAATAATGGTACTAATAATTATTAATTCATCTTCATTCCTTTGTCTTCTTTAGCAAATTTAGACCAAGATTCAATAAACATATTTTCATATTCTTAAAATTTATTAAGAGGATTATCACTATTAAAATAATTGATTTCATATTGATCCAAAATAATCAAAATAAATAAATTCAACATAATGTATTATTAGATTACTATAAAAACAATAAAAAATATACAATAATAACCTTAACCATCTTACATAGTATCAAACATAATTTTATACCAATCTTCTCCAGTTGAACATCTAAATAAAAGTTCAAAGGAATGATGGAAATCTGAAAAATTATTAACATCATCTATTGCCCATCCACTTCTAATGGTGCCAAAGAGAAAAACACCTAAAATAGAGAAGATAAAGAAAACGAGAAATAATAAAGCTGTTACATTTAACATAGCAGGTAATGAATAAATTGCAGTTTCTATAAGTTTCTACAATCCTTCAAATGATTTAATT